CACAGCCACAGAGAGTTAGCATCCACGGAGAGTTAACACAGTCACGGAGAATTAACACAGTTACGGAGAGTAAACACAGCCACGGAGAGTTAGCACAGTCACGGTGAGAAGTAGCACAGCTACTGAGAGCTAGCACAGTCACGGAGATGTAGCACAGCCAGGGAGAGTTTACACAGTCACGGAGAATTAACACAGTTACGGAGAGTAAACACAGCCACGGAGAAGTAGCACAGCCACGGAGAGTTAGCACAGTCACGGAAAAGTAGCACAGCCACGGAGAGCTAGCACAGTCACGGAGAGTTAGCACAGCCAGGAGAGTTAGCACAGTCACGGAGAAGTAGCACAGCCACGGGAGAGCTAGCACAGCCACGAGAGTTAGCACAGCCAGGAAGAGCTTACACAGCCACAGAGAGTTAGCACAGACCTGGTGTCAATAATCACCTCAACACGCACTACCTCAAATGTTACCAGTTTTCCTTTAAAATTATCAACAGTGTGGTAAATGTGGTGAACAAGTTGTCGAATGTATAACAACAGCCTTACAGGAAGTGATATGTGATATGGCCAGATGAGGCTGACCTACCCACACAAATGGTATTTACCCTTCAAAAACACTCTGTAGGTTACGTTATCGTGGTCACTGGATATAAGTTGATGAAAGATGTTGACAGGGAACAGGCACAGTCTCGTTCAAGAGTCTTCAAACATTGCTGGAAACAGCTGGCAACTCAAGGCCGTTTGTTTTCTATAGTAGGTAATAAAATTTATGAAAGAATATAAACGGTTGTCGGTGATTGGATACTTAGTTCCCCGTTGCTTAATTAATGGTTGGGCTTTGTTGTTTCGTATTATATTATACTGCACAAACGGCCTGGAGTTGCCAGCTGTCTACAGCAGCGTTCGAGGAATCTTGAACGAGACTTTACCAGGTGGAATAACAGTGCACAGTACAGTATCGAGAAAGCCAGACATCTGAGACATTTTATCCAAGAGAGAAAGGTCATAAAAAATTTCTCACCGGATGACAGAATAATATATGAGGTCGACTTAGTGTTAATTCCTAGTACAATTGGTATTATTTTCCGATGACTGCATACTAGACAGACTACAAGATGTGAATCGTGGAGTCAGAGGCCTCGTAACCTTCAGAACTAAAGAAATAAAGTGAGAAATGAAATTGCACCATCAAACTGAGCCACGTAATAGGCATGGCGTGGTCAAAATAATACGAGAGGTTGAGGAGGAGAGAAAAGCGACTCAACCATCACGCGGGCGGTGTAGGATGAAGGAAGTCTTCAGTAAGTGCCAGAAGCCGCCTGAAGGAGAGAGAAAACACTGAGAAAGGGCTGGTTCAGTGACCCAGGTAAGGGTAAACAAGAAACAAGAGTACACCATTTAAGCAAAAGAAAGGAAACCAACCAAAGAGAAGTTTGGAGAAGCTAAGCGCCTAGAGACAGTATTTGAAAAAGAAAACACAGTAAATGGAGCTGGTGAATTGTAATTAGAGCCGAAACTAAAGATAAAAGGCTTCCATCAACACCAACAGACATTATGGACTCATACTTGACCTTTATTTTATTTATTTATTTTTATTTTTTATTTATTTTTTATTTTTTATTTATATAAGTATATACATAAATTACAGTGAAATTAAAAAGAAAATAAGTATAATGGGGAAGACAGTACAACATGGTTTGTACAGTATTAAGGTTGAGCAAGAGTACAGAGCTGTCAGGATTATGTCTGGTTGGCAAATATATTTATTGCAATGGTAATTTCTTATCTATTTACATGATAATTTCCGATAAAACGGTTTTAATGGTACAATAAATGCAGGTACTGTAAATATAGTAGGTATTACAAGAAATATTAATACTTAGACAATAGATATTTTTTAAGAGATGATTTAAAGGAAGGGAGCATAGTCTTAGCTCGGATGGGTGGGAGTAAATTATTCCACACCTTCACACCATGATATTTTATAAGAGGAGCGCATGGGGAGTGGTCTTAGTAGCTGTGGGTGACTTAAGTTGCATCTCTGATTATTCCGGAACTGGAAATAATTATTGACAAGCAAGTGATTGATAGATTTGTAAACAAAGAGGGTATAGCGGTGTTAATATCTTCGAATTTTAACATTTTCAATTTAGCAAAGTTTTCGTTTGAGTGATCTGGGTTTTTTTCAAGTAGGTCATTGTCCATACAACTCTCTTTTGTGCAGTAACCAGGGATTGTGTTTTTGAAAAGCCAGAGGCCCCCCATAGTGTGTGACAGTGAGAGTGAGTGGTGACTGTCGAGTGTGATACATGATACCGTACTGTTTATTGACTTTACTGTGAATGGCTTGTATGTGGTTTCTCCAGTTAGGTTACTCATCAACAATAACTCGAGAATTTAGTATTTTGTTCGCGTTTGAGGACTGTATTACCAAACAGGAGGTCCAAGTCTGGGGGTAAAATTTTCCTTCTGTGAAAGATCGTGTAGTGGGTTTCTCAACGTTTAAGGCCAGTTTATTAAGTATTATCAGGTCTGACTTATGTCAATTCAGTGTTCATAGTTCTCATCAAGGAATGGAGTCTGAGCTGCTGGCATAGGAATTACTATCGTCTGCAAATAAGTTGTATTTATGAGTGTGCTGGCGTGGACTATGTCGTTTATGTACAACAAAAATAGTACTGGACCGAGAATGGAACCTTAGGGGACGCCATACAAGATTTGCGAGGTCAGATTGTTAATTATTATAGCTGACATACTGCATCCTTTTGGACAGATATGAGATTAAACCAATTGTGGGACAGGCCCCTAACGCCGTAATGTTCAAGCTTTGAAAGGAGGATGGTATGGTCGACCTTTTCTCGTTAATCAAAAGATTTCAGACAAAATTACGTCTCTGGGAGTCGCAAATCAGAAAGTATAATACAACCCATTTCCCAACTCTCAGCAAGTACGAATTGGACAAACAGTTTTCAAAGAATGCTGACAGGTTGACAGCCTTGCAGGATGAGTTCTCACACAGATTTCAGGATATCAGAAGACATGCACTAGCAATAGAATTATTTGCTGCACCTTTCACTCTGGACGTAGAAACCGTTCCAGAGAAGTATCGAACGGAAGTGATCGACCTCCTGTGCAACAATGAACTGAAGAAGAAATATGGCCGAGTTTCCACTCATGAATTTTATAAGAATTATTTACCAAGAGCAGATTATCCACAACTTTCTGCTCACGCACACAAAATGTTGTCAGTGTTTAGAAGTACATACAGTACTTATGTGAAAATCTGTTTTCAAAAATGAATATAACTAAGAACAAATTAAGGTCCTCTATTACTGATGTGCACCTACTAAACACCCTCCATGTTGCTACATCAACCATCCAGCCAGACATCGCACAGTTAGTGCAGCAAATACAAAGCCACCCATCTCATTAACAGCTCAATTCACAGTCAACAAACAGTTGTTAGTAAGAATTTTGTTTTTGGGCTTTAGATTTATCATTAATTCTGAATTTTAACAGCAATATAGTGAGTGTATGGCCCATCATGCATCATATGGTTTTTATTGTGGCCCTCTATGAAAAATGTTTGCACGCCCTGGGCCACTAATAATAATTAAAAAAAAAAATAATAAAATAAAATATATTTATTGATGTTCGGCGGTGGAGACGTGATGGGATGAGAGGCGAGTTTGTTTATTTCACGAGGGAGATCATTGTGTTGGAGAAGCTGGGTATAGGGATGTTAGTGTGAAGAACAAATATTATTGACTGGGACAAAGGCATTCATTAAGTCAACAATATTATAACCAATTAGTGTTCCATGTAATTAATTAACAGTTTGGGTCAACAAAATCACCAGAGTTAAGTTCAGGATCCAGACACTTAGTGATAGTGACTTTATGCCCATCAAATACTCTATGTAAGAAGCATTATTTTTTCAGTAGACTATAATAATGATAAAATTTTTAAACAATGACACTCAAACTCATTTTGGCTTTTGTTCTATCTCACTTTAAACTTCGTGACTTATGTTGCCTTAACCACTTATGGCCTTTTATGACAGAGTATTGAAGTTAAATTATATACTCCTTTAACCTGGGGTGATAAATCTGGTCAAGATTACTTTCTTTAGCTTTTTATAGATGGTTTTAGTTTCAGCTGATGTCTTTATTACAGAACTATTAAGGAACAAAATAATCTCCTCACCGACGAGTCTATGATCCTTAGGCCAATAGTTGTAATTATAAACACTGGCTCAAGGGATTCATGTTGTCACTCCCGGGAGGCGCGGTAACCTTAGTTAAGTTTTTCGCCTCATTCTTGTCCTTCACCCGTGATCATCAGGTGGTGTAAAGACATTAAGACAAGGCCACCCAGAAAGGTAGGTGGGGGTGGGGGGTAAATGGGGCAATTGCCTGGCCCCTGACATCCTTGAGCCCCAAACGATTAGAGATGTAATAGACGCGCTCAAGTTATTAGCGTTCGAAAATTTGACGTCTATTCTGTAATTCTCCGGATGTGAAATTTTTTTTTTATAATAGATGCGGTATACTTTGATCTTGGGAGAGAAGTGACCACTGAGGGCATCTTATAATTCTGCCATGGGTTCCCGCTAAGCTCTGGGGGCCCTACCTGAAGCTACTAACCCCGTGAAGCAGGTGGGTCTACAAGTGGCCCAGGAGGTGGTCCAAGAGGTGAACCATGAGGTAGACCAAGAGGTGGGCCAGGAAGTGAACCAGGAGATGACCCAAGTGGCGGCCCAGGAAGTGGAACAGCAGGTGGAGCACCAGGAGGTGGACCAAGAGTGAACCAGTAAGTAAACCAGGGGGTGGACCAACAGGTGGACCAGGAAGTAAACTAGGAGATGAACCAGGCGGCGGCCTAGGAAGTGGAACAGCAGGTGGAAAACCAAAGAGGTGGGCCAAGAGGTGAACCAGGAGGTGGACCAATCGTGTGGACCATGATATGAACCAGGAGTTGGACCAAGAGGTGGACCAGGGGAGATGGACCAGGTGGCGGCCCAGGAGTCCGAACGGCAGGTGGCCCAAGGTGGACAAGATATGGACCAGTAAGTGGACCAAGAGGTGGACCAGGTGGCGGCCCAAGGTGGAACAGGAAGTAGACCAGGAGGTGTACTAAGATATGGATCAGAAGTAGACCAAGAGTGGTCCAGGAGAATTAGACCAGGAGATGGACCAGGTGGCGGCCAAGGAAGTGGAACAGCAGGTGGAAACCAGGAGGTGGACCAATAAGTGGACCAAGCGGTGAACCAGGAGGTGGACCAATCATGTGGACAAGATATGAACCAGGAGTTGGACCAAGAGGTGGACCAGGAGGTGGACCAGGTGGCGGCCCAGGAAGTGGAACAGCAAGTGGCCGAGAAGGTGGACCAAGATATGGACCAGGAGGTGGACCAAAAGGTGGACCAGGAGGTGGACCAAGAGGTGGACCAGGTGGCGGCCCAAAAAGTGGGGCAGGAGGAGGTGGACCAGGAGGTGGACTAGGAAGTGGAGAGAAGATGAGAGTGGAGGTGGACGATACTATAATCCAAGTGTTTTTCAGCTCTAATCCTCTGGTAACCCCTAGCCCCCCCCCCTCCCTCCACTCCCTCCCATCTCCTCTCAGAAAAAATATCGTCTCCATTTCGTTTCAGTTCTGAATAGTCCCTAGGTTCCTAAGGAAGGAAGTATAAAAGCTTGGTCTAATTGGAACGTGGGAAGGTATCCCAAATTGTCTCACTTAAGAAAGGCACAAAGAAGGCGTACAACTTTATAGCATCGAGAGTACCTGAGACTGTCTTGGGGAGGTAGAGAGGGAATGTAGTTATACGGTGGTAAGTAGATTCCTTCTCTTATGAGGATTTAGTTGGGAATGCTAATGTAACACGAGGATTCATAGAAATTGCAAGATAATTGGCCCAATCCCTTGAATACACGATGACTTAACCCATTGGATATGATATGTGCTTCAGGGGGTTAAGTCGTCACACTCTAGAGGTTAGATCATCATACTCAATGAGTTAAATCGTCATACTAAAGGTATTAATTAAAATACTTGAGGAGTTAAGTCATCATACTCTAGGAGTTAAGTCATCGTACTGAAGGGGTTAAGATTAGTATTAGGAATAAAATCACTAATACTTGAGGGTTAAGGTTTACACTGTTTCCTGGCCATTACTCATGAGCTAACACTCGAGGGAAATACGTCATCACTTTCTCATTTATGTGGTCGGTCAGGGACGGTGTGAGTGACCGATGGTGTCCCTCTTCCCAAGTGACCGATGGTGTCCCTGCCCTGGTGACCGATGGTACCCTCTTCCCTAGTATTGACGATGGTGTCCTCTTCCTGGTGACCATTGGTGTCCCTCTTCCCTAGTGACCGATGGGTGACCTGTACCTAGTGACCGATGGTGTCCCTCTTCCCAAGTGACCGATGTTACCCTCTTCCCTGGTGACCGATGGTACCCTCTTCCCTAATAGTGACCGATGGTACCCTCTTCCCTAGTGACCGATGGTGTCCCTCTTCCCAAGTGACCGATGGGTGTCCCTCTTTAGTGACCGATGGTGTCCCTCTTCCCTGGTGACCGATGGTGCCCTCTTCCTAGTGACCGATGGTGTCCCTCTTCCTAGTGACCAATGGGTGTCCTGCTTCTCTGGTAACCAGTAATTTCCCTCTTCCCAAGTGACCAATGGTGTCCCTCTTCCCTAGTGACCGATGGTGCCCCTCTTCCCAAGTGACCAATGGTGTCCCTCTTCCCTAGTGACCGATGGTGTCCCTCTTCCCGAGTGACCAATGGTGTCCCTCTTCCCTGGTATCCGATGGTAACCTCTCTTCCCAGAGTAGCCGATGGTGCCCCTCTTTCAGTGACCATTGTTGTCCCTCTTCCTAGTGACCGATGGTGCCCCCTCTTCCCTAGTGACCAATGGGTGTCCCTCTTCCCTAGTGACCGATGGTGCGCCTCTTCCCTAGTGACCGATGGTGCCCCTCTTCCCTGAGGCCAATGGTGTCCCTCTTCCTAGTGACCAATGGTGTCCCTCTTCCCTGGTAACAACCGATGGTGTCCCTCTTCCCTAGTGACCAATGGTGTCCCTCTTCCCAAGTGACCAATGGTGTCCCTCTTCCCTGGTAACCGATGGTGCCCTCTTCCCAAGTGACCGATGGTGCCCCTCTTCCCTGGTGGCAATGGTGTCCTCTTCCTAGTGACCGATGGTGCCCTCTTCCCTAGTGACCAATGGAGCCCTCTTCCTAGTGACCGATGGTGCCTCTTCCTAGTGACCGATGGTGCCTCTTCCCTAGTGACCAATGGTGTCCCTCTTCCCTAGTGACCGATGGTACTCCTCTTCCCTGAAGTGATCGATGGTGTCCCTCTTCCCAAGTGACCGATGGTGACCCTCTTCCTAATGACCGATCGATGGTGTCCCTCTTCCCTGGTAACCGATGGTACCCACTTCCCAATTGACCGATGGTGCCCCTCTTCCCAAGTGACCAATGGTGTCCCTCTTCCCTAGTGACTGATGGTGCCCCTCTTCCCTAGTGACCGATGGTGTCCCTCTTCCCTAGTGACTGATGGTGCCCCTCTTCCCTTGTGACCGATGGTATACTCTTCCTGGTAACCGATGGTGCCCCTCTTCCCAGTGACCAATGGTGTCCCTCTTCCCTAGTGACCGATGGTGCCCCCTCTTAGAGTGACCAATGGTGTCCTCTTCCTAGTGACCGATGGTGTCCTTCTTCCTAGTGACCAATGGTGTCCCTCTTCCCTGGTATCCGATGGTACCCTCTTTAAGTGACCGATGGTGCCCCTCTTCCCAAGTGACCAATGGTGTCCCTCTTCCTTGTGACCGATGGTGCCCTCTTCCCAAGTCACCAATGGTGTCCCTCTTCCCTAAGAACATAAGAACGCAAGACAGTGGGATACTGCAGAGGCCAAACTGGCCCATGGGGCAGATCCCTTTCACGCACCATCCCAGCACTTTGTATTTCTCCAACTAAATCTTGAAGCTCCCTAAGCGTCCCCGATCCTACTACGCAGCACTGGTAGCCTATTCCACATATCACAACTCTATTACCAAACCGGTGCTTGCCTGTATCCTTTCTGAATCAGATTTATCTAATTTAAAGCCATTTGTTCCTGGATTATTTCGTTATTACTGAGCTTAGAACATCTTCCATTTTACCCTTGTGTCCGCACGCGCACACCTCTATCATATCTCCCTAACTCTACGCCTCTCTAATGAATGTAAGCCTAAGCTTTTTCAGTCTTTCTTCATATGGAAGGTTTCTAATATTATGGATCATTTTTGTCATTCTTCCCTTGTACTCTCTCCAAAGAATCTATGTCCATTCTATAATAAGGACACCAGAACTGAACCGCATAATTCCATGTGTGGCCTCACTAATGCTGAAGGTAAGTTTCAAGATAACGTCAGCGGTTCTGTTACTCTGGGCCTAGATATGAACCCAAGAATCCTGTTTGCCTTGTTGCGAACGCTAATACATTGTTTTCTAGGTTTCAAATGGTGCACAACAAATACACCTAGATCTTTTTCACAAACTGGTTTTCTATTTCCGTGTTACCTAGTTTATACTTAACGTTTTGTATTCGTCTTCCTATCTGTAGTACCTTGCATTTATCAGTGTTTAAGATTCATTGCCAGTCTACTGACCACTCATGTAAGGTGTCTAGATCTCTTTGAAGGTGTTCAAAGTCACTGTCTGATTTATCACTCTCCCCATTTTGGTATCATCTGCAAATTTACTAATCCTACTAGTTGTACTTCATCCAAGATCATTAATAGACCATAACAAACAGCAGAGGGCCCTATACAGATCCTAGGGAACTCCGCTTTTGACCGCACCCCAGTCGACTTTAATCCATTTATGGCTGACTCTTTGTTTCCCTACCAGTTAACCATGACCTGTCCATTTTAATACTGATCCACCTATTCCATGTGCTTCTACCTTCCTTATCAATCTCTCATGAGGACTCTATCGAATGCTTTACTGTAAATCTAAATAAATTATATCATATGACTTATCATTATCTACCGCTTCATATGCTTCTGAAAAAGCTAAGCAAATTTGTGAGACAAGAGCGTCCTAGGTGAACCCGATGCTTTGAAAGAATGAATTAAGTTGAATGTTTCAAGGTGGCTTCTGATTTTTGTAGCAATAATTGATCTAGCAACACTTTTATATTGATTGGCGTGAGACTAATGGGAATGGTAATTTGATGCTTTATTGATTTATCACCCTTTTTGAAAATCGGAACTACATTTGCAAGTTTCCAAGCTTCTGGCACTAGGCCCGATTCTAATGACTTATTAAATAAAACTGCTAATGGATTACTCAGCTCATCTCTACATTCTTTAATATTCTAGCATATACCTCGTCTGGACCAGGCGATTTATGAGCTTCAGTTTGTAGATTACTTTAAGCACATCGTTACTAGTAATATTGATATTCATCAACATATTTTTCTATACTGTCGTTATATACCTTATGAACTACAAGAGCTGTGCTAGGTTTTCATTTGTGAATACGGAGCGAAAATGACTTTATTTAACGTACTACACATTTCTAACTCATCATCAGTCATTTCTCCTGTCATCGTAGTTTTAAAGGGGACCTATTGTATCTCTAACCTTTGATTTATACAGTTGATAAAAAGCTTTGGGGTTATTTTCGATTCGTTTGCTAGCAGTTTCATAATTTCTCTTTGCTTTCTAATTTCTGTTTTTACCTGTCTTGTTGGGTTCTGATAGTACCCAAGTAAGTGATTTTCGCCTTTCTTAACTTTCTATATACTCCTTTCTTTTTCCTAGAAGATCTAGGAAGTCTATTATTCATCCATTTTGGTTGGTTTCATTATCGATCTGAATTTTCTTTTAGAGATGTGTGTTTATTTTTGGGCATTATTGATTATGTAATAAATTGTTCATAAGTAGCTGCTAGAATTAAGTCGGGGTTATCCCGTCCTAAGTTGACAGTTTCGGAGGTGTGGGGGATTAATCTCTTTTGACCATAGGAGTTACCAGGTCTCTCCTTAAGCTACCGTAAATAGCCTTCCTAAAATCCGGGATCAAGGCCGAATTTTCCTTCTTCCTGCCATCCCATATTATGTTATTTAAAATATGCTTATTTTATGATCACTGTTTCCTAGTTCGTCTCCAATCCCAACATCTTTTTACTAGATTTTCATTATTACTGGGGAACTAAATCGAGGGATATTATTATTTATTTCCTCTAATTAAGGCGAGTTTTATGAATTGATATAAAGCTTATCTTGTACTACTTCTAGAAAATCTTCAGATTCATTATGGCTAAGTTGATTTTCCAATCTACATGCCTGAAAATTGAAATCATACAAATACATACATTGTTTCTATGAGATGCCTTCTTTATTTCCCATAGCAATTTACCATCGTTCCTACTCAAATTGGGTGGTCTATATATAACACCAATGACCTCTGGATTCACTGCCCTCACCAATCTCTACCCAAATACTTTCATTGTCGCTATTTGTTGTTTTAATGTTTGATTTATTGCAGCTTTTTTAATGACACCCTGATATACACTGCTACACGCCACCTCTCCTTCCTACTCTGTCAAATTTAAATAGGTTATATCCTGGAATATGAAATTCTGCTAAAAAATGCTTGCTGTTTGAATTTATCCATGTTTCCGTTATTGCAATTATATCTATGTTCTCTTTACTAACAATGGCCTAGTGACCGATGGTGTCCCTCTTCCCTAGTGACCAATGGTGTCCCTCTTCCCTGGTATCCGATGGTACCCTCTTCCCAAGTGACCGATGGTGCCCCTCTTCCCAAGTGACCAATGGTGTCCCTCTTCCCTAGTGACCAATGGTGTCCCTCTTCCCTAGTGACCGATGGTGCCCATCTTCCCTAGTGATCGATGGTGCCCCTCTTCCATGGTGACCAATGGTGCTCCTCTTCCCCAGTGACCGATGGTGCCCGTCTTCCCTAGTGACTGATGGTGTCCCTCTTCTCTAGTTCCCGATGGTGCCCCTCTTCCCAAGTGACCAATGGTGTCCCTCTTCCCTAGTGATCGATGGTGTCCCTCTTCCCAAGTGACCAATGGTGTCCCTCTTCCTAGTGATCGATGGTGTCCCTCTTCCCAAGTGGCCAATGGTGTCCCTCTTCCCTAGTGACCGATGGTGCTCCTCTTCCCTACTGATCGATGGTGCCTCTTCCCAAGTGACCAATGGTGTCCTTCTTCCCTAGTGACCGATGGTGTCCCTCTTCCCTAGTGACCGATGGTGTCCCTCTTCCCTAGTGACCGATGGTACCCCTATTCCCTAGTGATCGATGGTGCTCCTCTTCCCTAGTGATCGATGGTGCCCCTCTTCCCAAGTGACCAATGGTGTCCCTCTTCCCTAGTGACCGATGGTGTCCCTCTTCCCAAGTTACCGATGGTGTCCCTCTTCCCTAGTGACCGAGCCAAGGATAACGGGGTTTTTAGTTATCTAGGTGGTGTACAGATCGCACGGGAACTAATGACATTGATGAACGATTGACTTTTTGTAGGGTAAAGGCATGAACCTAGTTGTATCCTATAAGAAAGTGCTCATCAGTAAAAAGGATAAACCTCGTCCCTGAAGATCAAAAAAATAGTTATGGACACAAAAATCTACCAACAAATAATTCCTCACTGACTGGGCAACGTGTTGTCTTTGTCAACAGGATAAGAAGGAAGATCTAAGTCTCCACATGCAAACTTCATAAAAAGGAGATGACGGTTACAAGAGCTAAGAATAAATATTCTCTATTTCATTCAATCAATGCATCAAGGTAATCAAGCTTGACCCTGCAAGACCTGTTGAAGATGATGGGATAGAGGAGACCAAGGAGGAAAAACAAGGCACAGTATCATGAGAGTTGCAGACTTCTGTCTAAATAAACACAAAGTTAAATAGAGCTCAGAAAAGGTGAACCCCCTGCAGTTGCTAAGCAGAGGAGAGCAGCAGTAGCAAGATAACAATGAATGGTCAGAGACCAAAGGGCCAGAAATGCTTTCTATGTGAGGAAGAAGCTTCTGGAGATGACATAAGACATGATTCACCTCGAGACATGATGTGCCTTAAGCAACACCTCATCCAGAGGTAGCGAGGGATTTCTACAAGGGGAACTTTGTTGTCCACAAGTCAGAAGAGAGTTCTCTGCCATTGCTATTGATCGCCCATAACAAATAATGCAGGATTAAAGGCGATGGAGGAGCAATTCGCTGACTTTGAGGACCCAGCAGCACTTCGTGGTGGATGCGCTGACCTGAAGTGAGTCGTCTTGGTTGCTGGATATGAAGCTGCCAGGTGCAAAAAGATGGAACTCCCCACCAGCAGCCGACATCATGAGCAGACCATGAGGAACAGAAATCTTTCTTTGAGAAGGGAAGACCCAAGGTGCTGGTGAGATGGGCAACCCTTTCCAAGAAGAGTCATCTGACCTTCTGGTGTTAGACACAAAGAAATATTGTTGGATCCAGATAAGCTGCTAGAATGGGTTGGTGCCACACCATGGCAGGAAGTGGCAAGAGCAATGTCTGTTCTACTATCCAATCAAGAAAAACAGATCCGCCTTCAAACATGACCACGTTGTTAGCAGTTCCAAAGAGAAGGTGCTGAAAGATGACTGTCAGCTGTTCTCGCGACTCTTCATCTCTAGTCAGAACAGACAGTATGACGGTAAGAATTCTCTCAAGCACTAGAACAAGTCAGCTCCCTGCCTCCCCTCAGTAACAATGGCAAGCTTCATATATGCCGAAGTCACAGCTGGCTGAAATGCCTTCAAGCACAAGTGAATGCTACAGAGAGAGAAAAACCACATGGAGATGCTATCATCATAGATGGCTCAGCACTGGATCGATGCCCTCCACGCACCTCAAAGACTTTTGATCCCTTTATGCCAGAGAAGACATCCTGCCCAAAGTGGAATTTATGGTACAAATACAATAGAGTTGATGTAGTGTTTGATGTGCAAAATTCAAGTCTGAAGTCTGAAACCAAGGTCGAAACGAGGACAGGGGATCAGAGAAGAGTTACAGGAACCAGTAAGACTCCCAAATACTGGAGAGAAGCTTAATGAGATGACAAAAAACAAGACAGAACTATTCCATTTTCTCGCGGAGAAAAATGTGAAGCGCAGACGACAAGCACGGTGGCGACAAAGGGAGAGAAAATGCCATTGATGAACACAGAGAAGTACTCTAGAAGCTGTGGCTCCATGCTGTCATGAGGAAGCGCGAGACACGAATATTTGTGCATGCTAGGATGCAGCAATGGAATGTAGCAAAGTCCCTCTACATCATCAAAGCCAATGACACTGACGTGGTCGTCATAGCAGATCTGTACTGCCATCACTACAGGAGCTTGGTCTTGAGCAACATGTGGATTGCCTTTTGGCCAAGGAGTTTTAGTCATCGATGGATTCCAGTTCATGATGTAGTTTCTGCGATAGGGCCTAACAAAGCTAGTGGGATCCTATACTTACAAGCTTTCACTGGCTGTGATTGCTGTGTCTGGCTTCCGTGAAAGGAGAGAAATTCGCATGGCAGACATGGAATGTCTGATGAAGTTTCAGAAACACTCATCAAACTCAGCCACGTCCAACAACAGTTGCTGATGTTGACTCAGCAGAAGCTGGAAAGATTTGTTTTCTATGTACGACAGATCTGAAAAGAGCCACTGGTGTAGAAGATGAGGCAAAACTAAATCTCTTTTCCCGGAAGCAGAGACCATGACCTATCTCCACAACCCGCAGCCCTAAGGAACATGCAGCGGGCTTCCACCACAGGCTTAGGTATCATCTGAGCCAGGCAACACCTAATCCAGAGACCAGCAGTCCTGTCAACTGGGGATGGACGCAGAAGGAGAGGCATGGATTGACTCTTCCTCGATTGCTAGCATGCTGTCAGAGCTGGACCAAATGTTCCTTGTGTAAGAAAGACTGCAAACTAGAAGATGCAAATAAAGGCTTCTGACTTCTGCACAGCACTTTACAGCTGCATATGAACAGCAGTAAATGCACAAAGATGTACTGTCAGGAGAAGTCATAGGAACTAGTGCCATAGTGAGTACTTTTTTTTTAGTAAGTTCTTTTTGTTATATTTTTTTTTAATAAAAGTGTTATTTTATGTGATACGAATGTTACAATAAACTTAAAAACTATAAAAAAAATCATCTGTTAATGCTGGAAAGTTATTGCTATCGACACTAAGACTGCACTCAGATTGGACCAACTACATCAATTTCTATAAGAAAATCAATCTTGAAGGGTCAATATGGCGGCTATCTTGAAAAAATGTCCGCCATCTTGATTTTAAATGGCCAATCAGGCAGACTTAACTAGCTATTAGAGAATACTACAAATTTGGTGCTTGTATCATTTGCATATTCTCTTGAAAATTGCATTTAGCTGCCCTGTTTCATATTTAGCAACAATCAATGTGAGACCAGTTATCCCGGACCAGTCATTTGTGGATAGAGGCCGAACTCACTCATACCTCAATTCTCTCAAGTGCCAGTTAACCTCCTTCAACACCCACTATACCCTTTACCTACACCCAGTACACTCTCACCTACACCCACCCTACTCAACCACACGCACTACACCTTCACCTACACCCACTCTACTCCTACCTACACCCACTACACCCTCACCTACACCCACTCGTTATTCGATTTTATTACAAGGTAGTCGGGTCACCTTCATGCACCTGAAATAATTATTAGACAGTTATGAAATAATTATACCATAACTCTTATTTTTGCCTGTAAATAAATAGTTTAATGTTAAATTTCAAAGTATTCATATAATAATAATAAAAAATATTAAAATATTTTGATTTATTAGGTTTAACATCCCCTGAGAGCGAGTTTCCCCGTCAGTCAGTCATTTCTCCATCCTGACTTGTTTTTTCTCCGTTCGGGGTAATTTGGCTCAAGGGGGAGGTATTTGTAATAGCTCCCGGTATTGAAATAAATGCAACACGTTTAACTCTGATATTTTTCCGGCAATTTTTCGAGCAATTTCAGTTAGAATTTAGTAGAATTTCTTGTTCCATAAATTCTTCCACCAACGCTGTGTCAGGGGTCAGTAGGAATTAGAGAGATAACTCACTAACAGATGGCACTGTTACTGAAAGTCTGACGCGACACAAGACGACGGGAGAGAGGGAGGACTGTTGGAAGAGAGGGAGACAGGGACAATGGAAGGGAAGGAAGGATGACAGGAGAAGGGAGGCGAAATGTCACAAAGGCTCAGGGAGGAGAGTACACCGTCATAGAGGCTCAGGGAGGAAGAGTACACCGCCATAGAGGCTCAGGGAGGAAGAGTACACCGTCATAGAGGCTCAGGGCAGTACACCATTATAGAGGCTCAGGGAGGAAGAGTACACCACCATAGAAGCTCAGGGAGGAGAGTACACCGTCATAGAGGCTCAGGAGAAGAGTACAACGCCATAAAGGCTCAGGGGGGACGAGTACATCGTTGTTCTCGCCCTTAACCATCGATTCTTGATGAGTTAATGGAGCTGGAACATGTAAAAGTTTATTGGGATTTTAGTAGCGAAACCCAACTGGTCCTTTTCTTCATTATTTAGGAAAATAGATTAATTATATACAGTTCCAAGTGTATATCACCGTAACTTAATCACTGTAGCTATGAGTGTTAAATGAGGACTGAGGCTATCTTACAGTATCTCTACTAAATACGTCCGAATGATGTGAAAGTTGAAGTGATAGTCAGTAGAGACTGCTCGAGGGAGAACGGAATATATCAGACGTCCTCCCCCGAGGAAAGACAGAGCACATCAGGGATGGCTCTAATAACGTCTTCCTCTCGTGAGTGATGTCAAACTACTGCCCGCAATAGGTGGCCAGGGAGCCGATCACTTATGTCTTAGATTAGCACTAAGTGATGCGCCTTCCTGTGGACACACCCGATCACGTGCTCTGAACATGTCACCACACAGCTAGTGGAAAAATTAGGATTATAGTTATACAAGACTAGTGTAATTAACCCACATTTATATAAGCACTTCTGCCATAGAGGCTCAGGGAGGAGAGTACACCGTCATAGAGACTCAGGGGGGAGAGTACACCGTCATAGAGACTCAGGGAGGAGAGTACACCGTCATAGAGACTCAGGGGGAGAGTACACCGTCATAGAGACTCAGCGAGGGAGAGAGTACACCATAGAGGCTCGGGTTAAGAGTACACCGTCATAGACCGGGGGGAGAGTTCACCGTCATAAAGACTCAGGGGAGAGTACACCGTCATAGAGACTCAGGAGGAGAGTACACGCCATAGAGGCTCGGGCTGAAGAGTACACCGTCAAAGAGATCTCAGGGGGAGAGTACACCGTCATAGAGACTCAGGGGGAGAGTACAATGCCAGAGACTAGGGGGAGAGTACACCGTCATAGAGACTCAGGGGGAGTACACCGTCAAAGAGACCCAGGGGGAGGTACACCGTCATAGAGACTCAGGGGAAACGTCATAGAGACTGGAGAGAGTACACCGCCATAGAGAGACTAGGGGGAGAGTACACCGCCATAGAGACTCAGGGGGAGAGTACACCGTCAGGACTCGGGGTGGGGGGAGT